GTTGAGTTTGCTTCTCGTTTTAATTTTTATTGCTATTTGAAATATTTATGAGATGGATATACCTCTGCTTGCCTCTTTGTTAGAGAAACACTATTGCTGTGAGCACACTTGTTCATGTCTCTCACGCTGAGTTCTGGGAATGGGACTGTCCAGGAGCACGGTTATCCCGTAGGAGACCATGCTGGTCTTCAGGTTCACTGGATACTGCCAGTGGCCTCTTATCATGGCTGACCCAGCAACACTCTCCTGTGAAGTGTCTGAATTCTCATTCCCTGACATTTCCTTTTTTTTTTTTATCAATTTATTATAAAAGGGAGATATGGAAATTATTTACATGATGAAAGATCTCAGAACTTCCATGGAATAGGCAGCTTCACAGGATGCCATGTTAGTGATGTATTCACTCAACATCCAAGAATGTCACCATCCCTAAATAAGAAATAATTCTTGTCATCTAGAACTACTTTGGTGCCTCCATATTCTGGGAGAAGAACTTTATCACCCACTTTCACACTAACTGGCTGAATCTCTCCACCCTTTCCTTTAGAGCCCGATCCCACAGCCACTACTGTGGCTTGCAATACTTTTCCTTGAGACTTTTCTGGAAGCATAATGCCTCCTTTGGTTACAGTTTCAGCTGCACTTCTTTCGACCAACACTTGGTCAAACAGAAGAATGACCTTCCTAAATGCTTGTCTGCCCATGACTCTTCTCGGTGGCCACTCGGACTCTGCTCTCACGCCGACGCTGCAAGGAGAGACCCGCAGTCGGGCTAGGGGACACGTGAAAAGGCCGCCCACCGCGCAGGCGCGCTCGCGCAGCTCCCCCCCACCCCTCGGCGTGCGAGGGCGTTCGCGGCGATTTCCCTGACATTTCTAAACAAAAGTTGGAATTGGACTTTAAAACTGGCCTAATATGTATTGGGTGTTCCATATTAGTCTTATGCTTCTTTTACATTTTGTTTTGGGACACTGGATTTTGAACTCAGGGCCACAAAACTTGTCATACTTTTACTAAGTGAGCTATGCCCTGCCCTTATTTGGTAAAAGCTTACTGATATCAGTTTGGCAGACTTGAGTCTTCTGCTTTTTATTATTTATTTTTTATGTGCCAGTACTATGGCTGGAAATCAAGGCCTGGGCACTGTCCTTAACTTTCTCATTCAAGGCTGGCACTGTGCCACTTGAGCCACAGCTCCACTTCCATGTTTTTGGTGGGTAAGTGGCGATAAGAGTCTCACCAGCCTGCATTGGCTTCAAACCACAGTCCTCAGATCTCAGCCTTGTGAGTAGCGAGGATTACAGGTGTGAGCCATCATTGCTCAGCTGCCTCCTCCTTTTTCTTTCTTTTTTTTTCATCTGTTTCCTAAGAACTTCCACCAAAATATAGAAGGGTTGTAAAAAGAATACTCAGCCAGCCTTCCTGTTCTTAGTAAACTCATCTACAGGATCTGTTAACACATGTGCTGATCATCTCAACAGCAAGCCTGACTCTGGCTCCACTGTTAAAACAGAATTCTAATGTTTCTCTGCTAGAGGTATATTGGACCTCTTCCTCATACAGGAGCTTTGGAGGAAGAACTGCCATTGTGGGCTCATCCCAACTGAAAAGTTTTCCTCCTCCCATTACATATTAGAAACACTGAAAACATCTAGGTTTAAACCCAAGTCCTAGACATGGACTATGTGATTCATAAAAGCCACTCAGAATTTTCGCCGAGTGCGATTGAGCCTGTGTTTAGAAGCTGATATCAATACATTGTTTGCACTTAGGCAGGCCAGGTTACTATGGACAGAAGCTCTGTTTATTTTTGTGTTAATACTGGGGCTACTCAGGACTGGGGAACTGTACCTTAGCTCAAGACTGGCAGTTGAACCATAGTTCCATTTTTAGTTTTTTTTTTTTTTGCTGGTTAATTGGAGATTAGAGTCTCACAAGCTTTGTAGTATTCCATTTTCCCTGAGAGACATGCCAACACTCAGTCAATTAGGCCAGGGGTCTTTATTGGCCGCATGGTGACCACACCCCATTATTTGGGTAGTAGGATGCAGTAGGGTCTTTTTTCCATGAAGGTCTTTTAAAGACCTTCAAAGCAAGCAAGCAGATTTACAGAAGCAATACATAACCTTGAGTTGCCAAAGCAGAAGCAAAACATAGTCTTGAGCTGCAGAAGTAGAAGCAAAACATAGTCTTGAGCTGGGCAGCATGACCATGACTTAATTACAAAAGCCAAAACATAACCTTGAATAGGGGTAATATATTTAAAATCCCAAAACATTGGAAACTTATTTCCATGGTTGGGGATGCCCTGAAATTTTCTTTATAGAAATGATTTTTATTATAAGCTCCTGACTAATACAGCAACTCAGTACAGCTAGTGATAAACCTCAAGGTTGTCAGTGGCCTTAGCAAAGTTTATAGTAAACTGCAAAGCTGCCAGCTTGGTAAACTTGAGCGAGGGAGAGATGTTCTTTTGCTTTTTAAGCAAGGGTGGAAAAGGCTTAGGCTGGCTAGAGCCCCTCTCTACAGAAGAGTTCTGCTTTTAATATTTGGCCCCATTTTTAATGATCAACAATTTTGTTCTGTTTCTGATTTTGCATTTTACAACTTTACTGCCTGGGCTGAAAACCTAATTTTGATCTAACTGTCACATACTGTTATGTCCACATAGTCTATAGAAATACAAATTTCTCTAAACTTGGGTGCAGTCGTGGTTTACTTGTAGGAATCTGAGCTTGGTAGTGTGAAGGAATAGTGGAGCTCTGAGGACAAGTCCCTCTGTAACTGAGGGTTTGAAATCTTCATTTAGTAGAAAAGGAGGCACTACCAAGGCTTGACCTTCACCTTGGTAAGAGGGAATGTCAGACAGTTCCCCAGCACATACACATCCTTTTTTCTCCCTCGGAGGAGTGGCATTCTGGCTATTTTTTAAGAACACCTGAGCCCCTCAGACCTGAGTAGAGTGGATCTGGAACAAAACTAGGTCTTAAATCAGAAAGAAGACGATTATTTATAAACCTGGGATCTTGGTTGGCAGGTTGCTTCTATTGCTGTTTGAATATGAATGATTGCTTTGGGACTCTCCTTACATCTTCTGTTTTCATGGATCTGTTGGTTTAAGCATTATGGGTCATGAATCTTGACTCAGTTCTATGCAACACTTAGACTGGAGTGTGCCAACTGGTACCTTTATAGACTTCCAATTCGGTGGAGGGATATTCTCTGAAGCCCAGTTTATTGGCTGTGATAGAAATAGGAAATACTAGCGGGGCGCTGGTGGCTCACGCCTGTAATCCTAAGCTACTCACGGGGCTGAGATCGAGGATCACAGTTCAAAGCCAACCCATGCAGGAAAGTTCATGAGACTCTTCAATAAACCACCAGAAAACCAGAAGTGGCGCTGTGGCTCAGTGGTACAGCGCTTGTCTTGAGCTGAAAAGCTGAGGGACAGAGCCCAGGCCGAGTTCAAGCCCCACAACTGACCAAAAAAAAAAAAAAAAGGAATAGGAAATACTATAAGTAAATACAGAAAGAACACATTCTCTCAAAAGAAGGGGTGATGTTGACCAAGAAGCATTGTACTCCTGAGGATGTTTTTGGGGGAGGGGGGCCAGCACCTGAGGGGTTTGTAACTAACCCTTTTGTACATGTACTTGATAATAATTAAAAAAAAGAAAAAGTTCTACCACCTTCAGCTTTGCAGGAGAGAGGATCCTTCATGGTCATGTAAGTAGGAGCAATAATTCCTGGGATCTTCAGGTGTTTCAGTCAAGATGCTATTTCCGAGAGATATCAATGATGGGAAGCGCATCCTTTAGTCCCTAATTTGCAAGGTCTTGTTTGCAAAATAGAATTTGGACAGTTCTACTGTACTTTGCCATACATTATTATTCTACCCCAATTGAATTATTAAAATTTAATAAGGGAGCTCGTAGTGTAATATTGTATATATACCACTTGAGATTTATAAAAATAGCATTGTATCCTATTTTTGCCTGCCTACATCATGAAAATTCACATCACAGATTTAATGTTTCAGCTCAAAATAGAACAGTTTTTTTCCTTTTTCCACAAGTAACTTGACAAGTTCCAAAATGATCCCTTAGTGACTCTGTTCAGTTAATTATGGCCCACACAGGGAATTGAAAATTAAATTAAGTGTGAATGGAGGTCATGTGAATCTCATTTTGTCTTAAAAGTGCTCATAATAACTCAGGATTTTTTTTAAAAAAGTTTTTGTTATTGTAAAGGTACACAGGTCTGCTAAGATACTGTCTTGTTGTGTAGCCCTGTCAGGCCTTGAACTTTCAGTCTCCCTGCCTTAGCCTCTTGAGTACAGGGATTACAGGAATGTTCAATCATGCCCAGCCCAAAAAATATAATTTACACAAAGCATTTTTAGTTCCTTACAGAAAATTTTAGTTGAAAAGTCTTACTAGTTTGTACTCTACTCTGATGTCTGTTTATCCAGGTTAGGTTAAAAGATTTGACTGATTACCATCTATGTTTGAACTTCGTTGTTAAACTTCATCCTATAGGGATGTATGTAATAAACTCACAAATGGCAGTTATAATAGTCATGGTGGCATACTCCTGTAATGCCATATTGAACTCAGGAGGCAGAAGCAGGAGAATTGTGAGTTAAAGGCCAACCTGGGCTACATAGGGACCCCCTGTCTCAGAAGAATGAAAAGAGAAAAAAAAAAAAATAAGGCTGGGCATCACGGGCTGATATCTGCAACCTGAGCTACTCAGGACCCTGAGAACTGGAGGATCACAGTTTGAAGTCTGCCCAGGCACAAAGAGACTCTTGATCTCCAATTAACCAACAAAAGGTGTGACTTAGTGGTAGAGCACTAGCAATGAGTGAAAAAGTTGAGTGAGAACTTGATGCCCTGAGTTCAAGGCCTGGTATAGACACACTTAAAAGAATAGAAAAGAAGAAAAAAAAATAACCCTCACATTTGTTTTTTCTAAGAAATGCTTTTCTTTCCTTGCAGGTAATAAATACACTCTAGAGACTCGACCCAACCAAGAAGGCATTGATGTTAGACAAGAGCTATTAAAATTCCATTCCACTTATTATTCATCCAATTTAATGGCTATTTGTGTCTTGGGTCGAGGTAAGAACTCTATAGTTTCATAGAGTTGAATAATACATATTTTCCATTTGTGACTTTTTCAAAGTATTGGAAGAAGGGGATATGATAGAGCTATTTATCTGTCCAGGGTTTTGGAGAATGATCTCCTTACTGGTGAATATATCAATGGAAATCTTATTTTTAACTTATTCTGTTCAAAAAAGAAGCTTAGATGGTTTTAGAAATTATTAAGTGTTTTAAGTCATAGACAGGAAAGGAAGCAAAGTAAAGAATGACAGATTTGGCCGAATAGTACTATAAAAAAGCAATGACATGGCTGGGAAGGTGGCTCAGTGGTAGAGCGCTTGCCTTGCATGCCTGAGGCCCTGGTTCGATTCCTCAGCACCACATAAGCAAAAAAGAAAAAAGCCGGAAGTGGCGCTGTGACTCAAGTGGTAGGCACTAGCCTTGAGCTGAAGAGCCCAGGCCCAGAGTTCAGGCCCCACAACCGGACCCCCCCCCCAAAAAAAAAAAAGACAAAATCAAAATGTCTGTGATATCAAGTGTAGTCCTTCTATCTATGACTCCTAAACAGTCGGGGTTACAGACAGGCATAAAATCCTCAGGCGCAGCTTGTTTGTTGAATTAGGGTCTTGCTAACATTTTTTTTTGCTAGGCTGACCTTGAGCTACAGTCCTCCTGATGAATCATCAGACATGGCCAACATCATCCTTAAAAATCCTTATATAAGCTGGGTACAGATAGCTCACACTGGAGTCTGAGATCATGGATCAAACCTGCCTGGGCAGTATAGTCTCCAATTAAGCACCAAAGAAGCTGCAAGTAGAGGGGCTGGGAAGATGGCTCAGTGGTAGAGCACTTGCCTTGCATGCACGAGACCCTGGGTTCGATTCCTCAGCACCACATAAGCAAAAAGAAAAAAGCCGGAAGTGGTGCTGTGGCTCAAGTGGTAGAGTGCTATCCTTGAGCTGAAGAGCTGAGGGACAGCGCCCAGGCCCAGAGTTCAGGCTCCATGACCGGACCAAAAAAAAAAAAAAAAGAAATGTCTGAGGTAAAATTGGCAAAGGTTATTTGTCATAATGTT